TCGATCTGCTGACGCAGGCGGTCCTGATGGCCGCCGGCCAGGTGTCCGACCTCATGGGCGATGACGCCGATGATCTCGTTGGGTGTCTCGGCCTGCACGATGGCGCCGATATTGATGAAGATCTTGCGGCCGGAAACGAACGCGTTGAACGAGCGCTGGTTGACCAGAACGATGTCGGTGCGGCTGCGCTTGACGCCGGCAACCCGAAGGATCGGTTCGGCATAATCGGCGAGCAGCGCTTCGATCTCGGCATCGCGCACGATCGGCACGCTTCCCGATTGCGCATGCGCCGGCAAAACGCCCGCCAAAGCGAAGCACAAGGCGATCAGCGCTGTGGCAAGACGACCGGCCAAGGTGTCCCACTTTCCGTTTTCGATTGCGCGGAGCGGACAAATGCCCTACCGGCGGTACCGCCGTTTGCGCATCAATAACAGCGAAAACATGGCGGTTCACGTGAATTTCAATAGCCCGCATCAAGGTTCGGTGCACCCATGATCCGGATATCGCAGCGCGGCACGGTCGCCCCCTTTTACGCCATGGACGTGCTGGCCGAAGCCAACCGTCTGGCGGCCGAAGGCAAGCCGGTCCTGTCTCTGGCGGTGGGCCAGCCGGGCGCGCAGGCGCCCGAAGCGGTGCGCAGGGCCGCCGCGAACGCGGCCATTACGGCGCGTTTGGGCTACACGGACGCGCTGGGCCGGCTCGAAACCCGTCAGGCCATTTCGGACCATTATCGCGACCAGTACGGCATCGCCGTCCCGGCAAGCCGGATCGCCGTCACCACCGGCTCTTCGGCGGGCTTCTCGCTGGCCTTTCTCGCGCTGTCGGAGCCGGGCGGCCGTGTCGCCATAGCCTCGCCCGGCTATCCCGCCTATCGCAACATCATCAAGGCGCTGTCGCTCGAAGCGGTCGAACTGCCGATGAAGGATGGCGATTTCGATCTCGATGCGCTGCTTGCCGCCCATGCGGAAAAACCGATCGACGTGCTGCTGCTGGCCAGTCCTGCCAACCCCACCGGCGCGGTGATCCAACGCGATGCGCTGGGCGGGATCGTCGAAGCGTGCCGCGATGCCGGCATCGCCTTCATCTCCGACGAGATCTATCACCGGCTTCGCTACACCGGCGACGATGTCACCGCGCTCGCCTTCGGCGACGATGCGGTCGTCATCAACTCGTTCTCCAAATATTACTGCATGACGGGCTGGCGCATCGGCTGGATGGTGCTGCCCGAAGCGCTTGTGCGCCCGGTCGAGCGGCTGGCCCAGAGCCTTTACATATGCGCGCCTGACCTGTCGCAGATCGCCGCGGCACGGGCCTTTGCGTGCACTGACGATTACGAAGCGATCAAGCAGGGCTATGAGGCCAACCGCAAGCTGTTGCTGGAGCGATTGCCGAAGATGGGCATCGGCTTTGCCGCGCAGCCGGACGGGGCGTTCTATGCCTGGTGCGACGTCTCGCGGCACACCAACGATTCAATGGATTTCGCGCGCCGCATGCTTGCTGAAATCCACGTGGCGGCGACACCTGGCGCCGACTTCGACCTGTTCGAGGGCGAGCGGCACATGCGGTTTTCCTACGCCGGCCCGACCGAAGCGATTGCCGAGGCGCTGGACCGGATCGAGGCCTGGCTCTAGATCGCCGATAGGACCGTCCAGGAAGGAAAAACCGCGCTCAACCAGTGGGTTGGCGCGGTTTTCGGAATCGGAAGCGCAGGCCCGCGATCAGAAGAAGCTCTTGCCGCGCGCCCACCATCCGGCCCGCTTGGGCTTTTCGTCGTCCGACTTGTCCGTTTCGGATACGACGACCGGTTCCACATCGAGATTGAGATTGGCGGCTGTCGCCCGCTTGCGCGCAGGCGTTTCTTCCGCTTCGCTCCCCGATGCCGCATCGCCGTCGGCGTCGTCATTGGCCGGCGCCGGCACATCCTCGGCAGTGACCGAGCTGCCCTCCGGGGCGCTGTCGACGGCTTCGACGACATCGGCGGCCTGTGTTGGCTCGCCAGCCTGCTCGGCGACCGGTACGCTTTCCTGTGATGTTTCCGGCGCATCGGATTCCGTGTCGGTGTCCTGACGCGCTTCGGCACTTGCCTGTTCTTCGGTCTTGCTATGCGCTTCGGAAGCGATCAGGTCGGCCAGCGGCCCGACCGGTTCGGCATCCGGAATGCGCGGGCCGCGGTCGCGCCGGTTGCGACCGCCGCGGCGGCCCCTGGACCGCCGCTTGCGCCGCCGCCCGCCCGATTGCTCGTCGTCATCCTCGCCGTCGTCGGCGGCGTCCGCACGGCTTTCGGCACCGTCGTCCTCACCGTCCTTGTCGCGTCCGCGACGGCCGCGCCGTCGCTTGCGGCGCGGACGGTCCTCGTCTTCTTCGTCCGTGGTCTCGACCTCGACGTCGACCGCTGCAACCGCGTCCTCATCGTCGTCTTCGTCAAGACCGATGCCGATGGCCGGGCTTTCGATCTTCGGCAGATCGGAAATCGCGCCCTTTTCGATGGCGAACATCTCCGCGCCGATGTCATCGTCCATCTCGATGGTGATCTTGACGCCGAACCGGCCTTCCATCTCGACCAGCGTGTCGCGCTTGTTGTTGAGAACGTAGAGCGCCGTCGCCGCCTGGGTCCGCACCGTCACATGGTGCTTGGAGTTTTTCAAAAGATGCTCTTCCAGCGACCGGATCACATGCAGCGCCACCGATTGCGGCGAGCGCACATAGCCGGTGCCGTTGCAGGCCGGGCACACCGACATCGTGCTTTCCAGAACCGAGGCGCGCATCCGCTGGCGGCTCATCTCCAGAAGGCCGAAATGCGAGATGCGGCCGACCTGGATGCGGGCCCGGTCGTGCTTGAGGCAATCCTTGAGTTTCTTTTCCACCGCCCGGTTGTTGCGGTTCTCGTCCATGTCGATGAAGTCGATGACGATCAGGCCGGCAAGGTCGCGCAGGCGCAGCTGCCGCGCCACTTCCTCGGCCGCTTCCAGGTTCGTGGCGAGCGCGGTCTCCTCGATCGAGTGCTCGCGGGTCGACTTGCCGGAGTTGACGTCGATGGCGACCAGCGCCTCGGTCTGGTTGATGATGATGTAGCCGCCCGACTTGAGCGTCACCTGCGGCTGGATCAGCTTGTCGAGCTGCGCTTCGATGCCCGTGCGCGCCAGGATCGGCGCGGTTTCGCGCCACGGCTTGACCGCCTTTGCCTGGCTCGGCATCAGCATCTTCATGAAGTCCTTGGCTTCACGATAGCCGTCTTCGCCGGCGACGATGATCTCGTCGATGTCCTTGTTGTAGAGATCGCGGATCGACCGCTTGATCAGGCTGCCTTCCTCGTAGACCAGCGAAGGTGCGCTCGACGACAGCGTCAAGTCGCGCACATTGTCCCAGAGCCGCATCAGATAGTCGTAGTCGCGCTCGATCTCGGCCTGGGTGCGGTTGGCACCCGCCGTGCGCAGGATGACGCCCATGCCCTTGGGCACATCGAGCTTGCGGACAAGGTCCTTCAGCCGCTTGCGGTCGGACACGGTGGTGATCTTGCGCGAAATGCCGCCGCCGCGCGCCGTGTTGGGCATCAGCACGGAATAGCGGCCGGCCAGCGACAGATAGGTGGTCAGCGCCGCGCCCTTGTTGCCGCGCTCTTCCTTGACGACCTGCACCAGAATCACCTGGCGCCGCTTGATCACTTCCTGGATCTTGTACTGGCGTCGCGAGGGACGTCGGCGCGGGCGGCTCTCCTCGAGCGCATCGTCTTCGCCGACATCCTCGAAATCGCTGTCCTCGTCATCGCCGTCATCGGAGGCCGCGGCATCTTCCGAGACGGTATCGCCATTGTCTGCGCGTGCGGCCCGCGCATCGCCGCCATCCTCATCCTCATCCTCGTCGTCGAGTGCGGCGAGGATGTCGTCCATCGCAACCGGCTCGGCGTCCGGCACCTGTGTCTCGCGGCGTTTGGACTTCCCGTTTCGACGCCCCCGGCCGCGGCGCCGGCGGCCCTTGCGGCCGCGTCCATTGTCGCCATCGTCCTCATCGTCGTCGAAATCGGTTTCGGCCTGCGCGGCTTCTTCGTCGAGCAGGGCCTGCCGGTCGGCGAGCGGAATTTGGTAGTAGTCGGGATGGATTTCCGAAAAGGCGAGAAAGCCGTGGCGGTTGCCGCCATAATCGACGAACGCGGCCTGCAGCGAGGGTTCGACGCGCGTCACCTTCGCCAGATAGATGTTGCCGCGTATTTGTTTCTTGTGCTGGGATTCGAAGTCGAATTCTTCGAGGCGGTTACCTTTGACGACGACTGCGCGTGTTTCCTCCGGGTGGGAGGAATCGATGATCATTCTGTTTGACATAAGTTTTGTATCCGCCGGGCGGAGCGGCAAGCCGGCACGCCCTTTCGGGGTCGGCCGAGGTTGGCAGTGCACGCGGTGCAGGGACGGAACGGCATTCGCCGACCGTGCGCCCTTTGCCCGGATTTCTGTTAGTGGCCGTCCGCTGGCGCTCCGCCTCACGCCGCGCCGGGGCGATGTGCCCCGTAACGGGCGGGCGGTGCGAAAATGTCGAATGTCTCAACGACATGGCGGTCAGCAATTTACCAAACGGGGTCCGCCTTCGGGCGAACCGTGACATGCGCTTCAAGCATGAAGCGGGAAACAGCGAAGCGGTTTCCGAACAAACCTCGGCGGCGGCAATTGCGACGCGTCGGCAATTCTCTGTTGCGGAAGCGGCACATTCATCGTGCGCCGAACCGCTTTGTACAAGTTAGGTTTTTGCCATTGGAACCGCAAGCAGTTTTATTCTGGCACGGCCATCCGGCAGCTCCCACGCAGGAGTTCGGCAATGTCAAAAACGACACTCGGGCATGTCGCACACAGCACATGCCCTTGCATATCAGATCGATTAGCCACATATGCCGGCGGTCCGCGATGTGCATCCGAGACGGCTGAACAACTGCCCTTGGGACATCATCGACAGCGCGCTGCCATCCATCACCCACGACGATTTGAGCGCGCGCTCAACCTGATTCGAAAATTGCAATGCCACGCTCCGCAACGCCAACGCTCGACGATACCAGAAACAGCTACCGCGAACGGGTTGCGCTGTGCACGACGACCTACGACCTGTTGCGCCTGGTCCGTGAAGTCGCCGCCGAACACGATTTCAAGTTCTTCGCGATTGCCCCGCTGCCGTCGGCGAAGGACGAAAAGCTTGCGCCGCTTGCCGTCTTGACCAACTGGCCCGAGGAGCTTCTGCGGCGTTACGACGAGTTGGAATTGCTCAAGGACAGCCCGATTTTCGGTGCGTTGCGGGCAAGCACCAAGCCCGTCGTCTGGTCCAACCGAGCCGGTGCCCGCCATTCGATCAAGGGCCATCCCCGCGAAATCCAGGACATGTTCTGTTCGTTCGGCATGTATGAGGGCGTGCATTTCAGCGTCCAGGAACCTGGCGGCAAGCGGGGTGCCGTCGGCTTTTCCGGCGACCGACCGCCGCCGGGCGAGGCCGAAATGGCCGAGCTGAACTTCGCCGCAAATTTGATCTACGAGCGCCTGCTGGAGTTGGACAAGGGTTCCAAACCGCAGAAGACGCAAAAGCTCAGCCAACGCGAAGGCGAGTGCCTGATGTGGACGGCGTCGGGCAAGACGAGCGCGGAGATCGCCATCATCCTGAAGCTGTCCGAGCACACGGTGAACCATTATCTGACGGCCGCATGCCAGAAACTGGGCGCCACCAATCGTGCCCATGCCGTCTACAAGGCCATGCGCGCGGGTTATCTGGACTGACGGGCCAGGGGGAGGAGACAAATGGACCAACCGCTGCAATTTGCCGTTCATGACGGTCCGCGACCGGCACAGCCCATGGAGCACGTGACCGTCGACGGATCGACGATCCTGGAAGTGCTGGCCCAGTTCGAGCCGTTCGGTCTGTGGCGCATGGATCTGGATACCGGACTGGTCTACTGGACCCGCGACATCTACGAGATCCACGAGATCCCCTACCGGGACGGCCCCGTCAACGTGAAGATGGCGATCGACGCCTATCACCCGGATGACCGCGGTCTGGTGGTCGATTGCCTCGAAGACGTCGTGGCGCGCAAATCCGGATTTCATTTCGTTCTGCGCATCGTGACGGCCGATGGGCGCTACAAGAAGGTCAAGTCGCTCGGCAAGTTCCACGTCAACGAAGACGGGCGCGAAGAATTGATCGGTACGTTCCAGGAAGACCCCGGTGGGGTGCGCGGCGTGGTGATCAAGCAGTAGCGCGACGTGTCTGCCCGATCACGAAAGGGCAGGGGGCGGCCCCGGCGTATGACCGGGCGAGAAGCTGTTGCAATGGAACGCGCGCTCCATCGTCGCCCGGCTGGCCTTGTGCGGACGCACGGCAGGGGCGCCCGAACCCAGATGCTGGAGTTCGATCGCCGCGTGATCGTCGCGGATGATCAGCCGGACGCGGGCTTCAAAGCGTGCAGCGGCAATGCTCACCCCGAGCGATACGCTCGGGCGTTCCCCCCAGTCCAGCGACAGGCCGCTGTCGCGGTCGTAGTGAATGAAGCCGGGCGCGAAATGCAGTTCCGCCGCCGCGGCCACGATCTCGGCCATGTTTGCCTCGCGGCCATTGATCACATGGTCGGCAAAAGTCGCCAGGTCGGTCAGCCGCAACTCGTCCAGAAGCGGCCGCAGGTGCCTGGCCAATACCTGTTCCAGCGCCATGTGATGCGGGTCGGTCAGCATCGCCGTCACGCCTTCTTCTTGTTCAGGTAGACGATGATCTCGGCCACCGCCTCGAAGAATTCCGGCGGGATCGTCTGATCGATGCCGACCGCCTTGTACATGGCCCGCGTCAGCGGCGGGTTTTCGTGCACCATCACCTCGTTCTCGGCGGCGATTTCCTTGATGCGCTGGGCGATCAGGTCCTGGCCCTTGGCCACCACGACCGGCGCGGGGTCGGTCGGCGGGTTGTAGCGCAGCGCGATCGCGTAGTGGGTCGGGTTCGTCAGCACCAGCGTCGCGTTCGGGACCGCGCCCATCATCCGCTTGCGTGCCCGCTCGCGCGCGACCGACTGCATGCGCGCCTTCATCAGCGGGTCACGCTCGGCCTGCTTGTGCTCGTCGCGGATCTCCTTGTGCGACATGCGCAGATCCTTGAGCCATTCGCGGTTGGTCCACAAAAGGTCGGCCACCGCGATCACGGCCATGGCCAGAACCATGGTGAACAAAAGCCCGAACAGGATGCGTGCCACCTGCGCCAGAAAGATCTCGGAACTGGTGATCGGCCCTTCTGCGAGCACCGGCATGATTCCGCCGGCAAAGGCCACCACGCAGCCGCCGGTAAAGGCAATCTTGGCCAGCACCTTGAAGAATTCGGCCCAGCCCTTGGCGCCGAACATGCGCTCGAAGCCCTTCTTCAGCGAAATGCGCGACAGTTCGGGCTTGATGCGCTTGAAGACGATGCGCGGCGGGTTCTGCGCGAACGATCCGGCGAGACCCGCAAAGGCGAGCCCGAGCAGCACCGGCGCCAGAATGACCATGGTGACCTCGAAGTAGCGGGTCATGACGGTCATCGTGTCGGCGGTGGTCGCCAGGGAATACTGGCCGGCCCGGTCGAGCAGGATCTCGAGCTGGGTCTTCAGGTTCGCCGTCAGCGCGTTTGACGCAAAGCCGATGATCGCGGTGATCGCGGTCAGCGTGAACAGGACCGGCAGTTCCTTGGAGAAGGCAGTCTGCCCCTTTTCGATGGCATCCTGCTTCTTCTTCTCGGTCGGTTCCTCGGTTTTGCTGTCCTTGTCGTCCTCATCGGCCATGGCCGGTCACCATGCCGTCAGTCGCGCTTGGGCAGCGCGATGCGGCCCTCGGAGGCAAGCTTCATGGCGAGTTGGGCGATCGACTTGCGCGCATCCTCGATCGCCGCCGGCGTGTCCTGCCCGCCGCCCGACAGTTCGGATTCGATCATCTTGCGCGCCCGCTGGCTGATCGAGGACAGAACGGCCTCCTTGAGGTCACCATCGGCACCGCGCAATGCGCGCACCAGTAGGTCGCTCGGCAGCCCGTCGACCACCAGCGTACGGGCGCCGGCTTCCAGCAGCACCAGGTCGTCGAACCGGAACAGCCGCGATTCCAGCGCCGCCAGCTTCTTGGGATCGATCGATTCCCGCACCTTCTTCATCAGTGTCTCGCTGGCATCCTTCTGCATCGCGTTCATGATCTCGGCGACCCGCATGGGTGCTGCGTCGCTGCCGCCTGCATTCCCCTTGGCATCCAGCTTGAAGTCCTTGACCAGCGCGTGACCGACATGGGCCAGCCGTTCGCCCGGTATGTCACGCGCGGTCATCATCGCCGTCACGATGGGCGTCTGCCGTTCGTCGGGCATCGATTCGAGAACGCCGGCCGCCTTGGCCGGAGGAAGTTGCGCCATCAGCGCGGCGACGAGCTGCGGCGGTTCGCTGGCCAGCCGGCCGACGAGCACCTCATCGTCGACCGTGGCGATCAACTCCCAGGGCGACTTTTTCGGCTCCGCCGGCTTGGCGGGCTCGCCGGGCGCCTCCGGTTCGTCCTCGGGCAGCGAATCGTCCATGATCGCGTTGATCGCGTCGCGGCTGTCGATGATGCCCGATCCCTCGACGAATGCCGCCTCGAACTCGCTGACCAGCGCATCGACGTCGGTCTGCGGCAGGTTCTTGAGCGTGTGGCCCGCATCGATCATGCGGCGCAGTTCATCGCCCTTGAAGTATTTCAGCAATTGCTTGGCACGCGGCTTGCCCATCGCGATCAGCACGGCGGCCGCCTTCTGCGACGTGGACAATGTGTAACGCTGCTGCATGATCTGCTAAGCCCCGGTCAAGTCAGGCAAACACGTTGGTGACCTTGAAGGCGAACCGGTCCGGCTCTTCCTCGGACACCTGCATCTGTCCGGTGGCGACCTTGACCCCGTTGACGAAGATGTCGATGGGATCGCCGACCCGGCTGTCGAGCGGGATGGTCGTACCCTTCTGAAGGGCGTTCAGTTCGGCAACGGACAGTTCGGCGCGACCGATGACGGCCTGCACCTCGAGCGGGATCTCACGCAGCGTGCGCGAAAGGCCCGCGGTCGTTGCCTCATTGTCCTTGTCGACCACGTCCTGCAGGTCGTTGATCGCCTTTTCGAGCGCGTCGTCCGGGTCCAGCTTCGTTTCGTCTTCGGCCTCGACGAACGCGATATGTTCTTCTTCGGCGGCATCGGCCATGTCATTGACCCCCTTTGATCGTGTGTTGGTGGGCATGCGCGCGCAGGGCGGCGGCGATCGGCGCGATCGGCCCCTGGATGCGCACGGCGTTGGCGTGGCCGACCCGGCCGATCTGCGTCGTGAACAGATCGCGGCCCTTGGCACGCAGGACGGCATCTCCGCCGGCGGCGGGCGCGCTTTCTATCACATCGCCCGGCTTGAGCCGCGCAACCTCGGCCAGCGTCATTTCCGCCAGCGGCAGGATCACCTCCACGGCGAGATCGAAATCGGGCACCTTGAACTCGTGGCGCTGGTTCGCGTGCGCCGCGCGCGCTTCGTCGGCGGCAAGCGTGGCCGAAAGGTCGATCAGAAGCCGGTGCGGCACGTCCAGCCAGCACCATGCACGGTTGACGCCGAACGTGATCGAAAAGGACAGCGTCGCAACCGCGTCGCCTGTCTCGTCGATCAATGCGGGATCGTCGCCGCGATAGATGTCGACCCGTCCGAACCCGAGCAGCGGCCGGTCGGTCTGCCGCGTCTGCCCGGCGGCGACCGCCAGCGAATGCAGAACGCCGATCTCAAGCTGCGAAATCTCTCCTGCCGATGGCGGCATGTCCGCTTCCGGGTCGCAGCCCAGAAGCGCGCCGTTGACGAGGCCGGCCGCCTGCCGGTCCAGATGCAGGGCCAGCCGGCACCGTTCCTCGGGATAGTAGAATGTGAAGCCGGCGGTTTCGGCGTTTCCGGCGGGGGGCTTGCCGGGCCGCGACGGGTCGCTCATCGTCTCGAACGCCATCACCAGATCGGGCGACAGCGTCTGCATGCGCGCCGTCATGTGCGCCTGGAACGCCGTTCCCAGGCGCTTGATGACGTTCTTCAGCCCGTCTTCGCTGACGCGCTTGCGCAAGATGCGGTCGGCAACGTCGCGGTCCTCCGGCGCCAGATCATATCTGTGCGCGAGCGTACTCACGCCGCCTGGGCCTCATTGGCGCGCCCGGCCTCTTCCTCGACCTCCTCCAGCGAAGGCCGGTAGTAGGCCGAAATCGTCTTGCGGCCGAACTCCAGCGCCACCTGCGGCATCGAGCCGTTCATGTATGCGATCAGCGTCTGCTTGGCGACATAGTAGAGCCGGATGCCCTTTTCGCGCACGCCCTTGACCTTGGTCGCAATCGGCCCGACCACCGCATAGGCAAGGAAGATGCCCAGAAAGCTGCCGACGAGCGCCGCCGCGATCAGTCCGCCGAGGATCTCCGGGCTCTGGTCGATGGCGCCCATCGCCTTGATCACGCCCAGGATCGCCGCGACGATGCCGATCGCAGGCAGCCCGTCCGACGAATTCTGCAGGGCCTGGTAAGGCTTGAGCTTGTCGCCCTTGATGGTCGCGATTTCCTCTTCCATCAATGCTTCAACCTCGTGTGGGCGCGCATTTCCGACAATGATCAGCCGCACATAGTCGCAGATGAAATTGGTCAGATCCTCCCGCTCGAGAACCGCCGGGTACTCGGCAAATATGTCTGATTCCTCCGGATTGTCGATATGCCCCTCGACCTCGTTGCGCGGCTTGGTCTTCAATTCGCGCATCAGCCGGTGGAGCAGCCCGAGCAGTTCCAGATAATCGTCGCTTCCAGGCACCTTGTTGGTCAGCGCTTCCATGATCGCCTTGCCGGTGTCCTTGATCGACGACATCGTGTTGGCGACGATGAAGATGCCGACTGCCGCGCCGACGATGATGACCACCTCGAAGGGCTGCCAGAGCACTTTGACGTAGCCGCCCATGGCCATGTAGCCGCCCAGCACGCAGCCGAAGGTTACAACCAGACCGATGATGATGCCCACGGGGAACTCCTCTTGAGGTTAACCAAAAGCTAAGCCGCAAACCTTGCATGAACCTGTGCTGGCGGCGCGCCTCCAGATGGCACGCGCGCGGGCGCGAGCGGAAAGGTTCGCGCAAGAAGTCTGCGTTAGCCTGCGCCAGTCATGGGCAAGGTGCGGGCATGAATACAACGCTGGTTTCGCTCAATCTGATCACGCGCGACATGGGTGCCAGCATCGAGCGGCTGGAATCGCGCGCCGATATCCAGCGCGAGGTCGACTACTACAACGAGACGATCGGGACGATCAAAACGCCCGAACAGCTCGTCGGCGACACGCGGCTGTTCAACTTTGCCATGAAAGCGCACGGGCTTGAGGACATGGCCTACGCCAAGGCCTTCATGCTCAAGGTTCTCAAGGAGGGGCGCGACGCGGACGACGCTTTTGCCAACACGCTGGCCGATCCCCGCTATCGCGATTTCGCCGACACGTTCGACTTTGCCCGGCACGGCGAGACGGCGACGATCTTCACCAAGGCGCAGCAGGGTGTGATCGACAAATATCTCGTCCAGACGCTCGAGACCGAAGCGGGCGAAACCGACCAGGGCGTCCGGCTCGCGCTCTACTTCCAGCGCAAGGCGCCGCAGATCAGTTCCTATTTCGACATTCTGGCCGACCCGGCCCTGAGTCAGGTGGTGCGCACCGCCCTCAGCATTCCCCAGGAAACGGCGGCCATCGACATCGACAAGCAGGCCGCCATGATGGCCGACCGGCTGCCGCTGTCCGATCTCAAGGATCCCGAAAAGCTCGACGAGCTGGTCGAGCGTTTCGCCAATCTCTGGCAGGTCCAGAATGGTGGAACCCAGGGCGGCATTCCGCCCGGTTCGCCGGCTCAGCTGCTGATGCCGGCCAGTCCGATGGGCATCTCGGCCGACCTGATGCTGCAGATCGCGCAACTGAGGCGATAGGAGCAGTGCGATGAACGATGGCTTGACCGTTGGCCTGTCCGCCCAATTGGCGTTGGAAAAGCGCCTGACGACGATCGCATCCAACATCGCCAACACGCGCACGGTCGGCTTCCGCGCCGCCGAGGTGAAGTTCGAGGATCTGATAGCGCGCCAGCGGGTCATCGAGGGCGTCAACACGGTGGCCTATGCCTCCGACGGGGCCGAATTCGCCAACACCGGGTCGGGCGCTCTCGAAAAGACCGGTTCGCCGCTTGATTTCGCCATCAATGGCGATGCCTGGTTCGCGCTGGAAACCCCCGCAGGCATCGCCGTCACCCGCGACGGACGTTTCACGGTCCGTGGCGACGGTGCCGTCGTCTCGCTGGCCGGCCACGCCGTGCTCGATCCCGGCGGCGCGCCGCTCGAGGTCAATCCGGACGGAGGCCGTCTCGATGTCGGCGCCGACGGCTTCATCCGCCAGGACGGCAATCAGGTCGGCGCCCTGGGCGTGTTCGCCTATCAGCCCGGCGCGGACTTCGTCCGCCATGGCGATTCCGGCATTCTGGTCGAGGGCGATCCCCAGCCCGTCGTCGATGCGCCCGATGTGACCATCGTCCAGGGCTATGTCGAGCAGTCCAATGTCGATCCGGTCGAGGAACTGACGCAGCTGATCATGGTGCAGCGCAGCTTCGAGAACGCCAATGCGATGATCCGCGACACCGAAGACTCCATGAAAAAGCTGATCGATGCATTCCACCGCTGATCGCGCTCCCGTCGATCTCGACACGCTGGTCGCCGGGCTCAAGGCCTTGCCGGACCAAGACGCGCTGGTGGCGCATGGCGGCA